TCAACATTCATAAATCAATTGCTTTCCTATAATCCAATATTAAATATGCTTTGAAAGAAATCAGGGGAATTATCCCATTCAAAAAAATCTCAGAAAAATAAAATACCTGAGACTAAATCTAACCAAGAAGGCGAAAGAACTCTACAATGAAAACTAGAGAACACTGAAGAAAGAAATTCAAGAAAACCTCAGAAGATGGAAAGACCATCCATGTTCTTGAATAAGCAGATTTAATATTGTCAAAATAGCTATGTTAACAAATTACCAAAAGTATTATACAGATTCAATGAAATACCCATCAAAATACCAGCAACATTCTTCACAGAATTAAAAAAAAAAAAGAAAGAAAAGTTCTAAAATTCATTTGGTAAAATAAGAGATCCAGACTATCCAAAGTAATCCTGAGCAAGAAGAGTGATCGAGTGATACTGTAGGCATCATAGTACCAATATCAAGTTATATTATGGTACAAACACAGCATGGTGTTAGCATCAATGAAATAGAATAGAAGACACAGAGATAAACCCACAAAGTTATAGTCATCTGATAAAACAAAGCCAAAAATATATGTTAGAGCAAAGATAGCCTTTTAAACAATGATACTGGCAAGACTGGATATTTATATGTAGAAAAATGAAACTAAATCCTCATCTCTCACCCAGTATAAAAGTCAAATCAAAGTGGTTCAAATACCTAGGAATTATACCAGAAACTTTGCAACTGCTAGAAGAAAACATAGCTTCAATATTCCAACATATTGGCGCAGGCACCAACTTCCTTAAAAGAGCCCTAAAGGTCAAGAAACAAAAAAATAAAATAAAATAAAGATATGAAAAAGATAGGGCTGGGGCTGGGGCTCAGCGGTGGCACACTTGCCTGGAATGTGTGAGGCACTGGGTTCAATTCTCAGCACCACATATAAATAAATAAAATAAAAAATAAAGGTCTATCAAGAACTAAAAAAAAAAAATTAAGATATGAAAAAAATGTTCAACATCTCTAGCAACCAGGAAAATGCAAATCAAAACTACATTGAGGTTTCATTTCATTTCAATTAGAATGGCAATCATCAAGAACACAAATAATAATAAATTCAGGCAAGCACATTGGAGAAGAGATACACTCATATATTGTTGGCAGGACTGCAAATTAGTATAACCATTTTAGAAAGCAAACTGGAGATTCGTTAAAAGACTGGGAACATAACCATCATATGACCCAAGTAGCCCACTCCTCAGTATACATCCAAAAGGACTAAAATCAGCATGTTGTAGTAGTGCAATTCAATATTCATGACAGTGCAATTCACAATAGCTAAATTACGAAACCAGATGCCCATCAACAGATACATGAATAAAGAAAATGTTATATGTATATATATGAAACAAAACAGGCAATCTGAAGGACACAGGACTGCAAGACACTAGGGTTATCTTGTTATGCTCAGAATTCTCTATCCCTGGGAGTTGGTGCCTGAGCTCAAGGTCCCGATTGATACAGCTCTGTGACTTTGCATGCAGCCTCCTCAGGCCAGCGTCACCATAACATCTGGCCCATCTTGACCGTACCTTTGTACAAGAAGTTTCCAACACAACATATCCATGAGGCAATCAGAGACCATGATTCAAATAACTGTTCTCCACAGTAGAGAAAGAGAATGAACTCCAGAATGAAACTGACAAAATTACGCTATGGACATATATGAATATGCCACAATTAATTCCATTTGTATGTATATCTGTAAAGGAACAATTTTAAAACATAAATAGAAGAAAGACCAGTAAATAGGGGGAGGGAGAAAGGGAAAGAAAGAGAAAGCAGTGGGGATTGAAATGGAAGAAATTCTATTCCATGCATGTATGATCATGTCAAAACAAAACCTCCTGTTATGTATAACTATAATGCACTAATAAAAACATTTTTAAAAGTGTTTTTTATCATTCTATGAACTGCAAACTATTATCTCCTTTAACTCTGACATTTGATTTACTAAAACATATTTTCTTCACTTAACAGATAAATTGGAGCCTGCTAAATATTAAAATAGAAATTGAGGAGAGATGTTATAAATACAGAATGGAGATATACATGTGTGTTAAATATAAAGTAAGGGTTCTGGTTAATAAAATGTAGAGCAAAATGGCTTTTATTCTATCAAGTCCCTATACACATTTCAGTAAAATAGCAATTCACCACAATATAACTTTATTTGGAGTGTTATGTTGTTAGCTCATTTTACTTGCAGAGAAAAACATCTTTCTTTCTCTCTCTCCCTCTCTCTCACTCCTCTCTCCTTCTCCCCACCCCCGCCTCTTTCTCACATACACACACACAAGGGCTACAAAGATTTTTTGCTTTAATTTTCTTCTGATTACAAGAGTGAATGTTCTGAGAGCCAAAAATGTTAAAAGTTCAGGAAAGTCAAAAGAAGAGAAGAAGAAAACCCATAATTATCCAGAGACAGACATTTCTAAACTTTTTCCTATACTAGTAGAAACGACATAGTATATATAATTTTGTATCCTGGTTGACACCACAGCATATGTTTTCTCCCTTTGTTAAGAACTCTATATTAACTAAAATAAGAAAGTTAGAAGCCTAAAAGAAAATGTTTTTTGACATATTTATTTAGCCAGAAAAGAAAATAAATTTGAATACCCTGATTTCCAGAGCATGCAGGCACATTTTCATGTAAAGTCAATTGCATTTAGCTCTGCTTAACTCAATTGTTTACAGAATGCCAAGTATAATATTATCTAATAAGAAAAGAGTTTATAAGGTAATGATCCTGACCTCAAAGAACTACGAATTTCGTTGAAAACACAAAATTTTAGAGCATCCAACAATTAAATAATAATGTGAATGATATATAATCAGGCATCTGTAGAACACAACCTCAACATCCAGGGAAGCTCAGGGGTTTTAGACTTAACAGGGCTTGAATCTAAGGTAAACATAAAATCACAGGTGTAACCACAAGCCAGCTGCTCATGGTAGCACATCTACCTAGGACCATTCTACAAATCTATAATTCCTTACTTCCTTAAAGAAGTATGCACGCAGTTGGGGGACAAGAATAGGCAAAGTCCTCCAGAGTATGACAGCAGAGATAGGGCCAGTGGAAGATTATCATCTGATTTCTACTTGTATTTATTTCTTCCATTAATTAGCACATGCAAAACAGGTTGAATATGCATGCAAAACTGGATTGTAAGCAAACAGTAAAATCATGCATTCACAATTGCATGATTGAAAATATGCAAAAGAATATGCCACTGTTAGGGATTCCATTTAATACATTACCTAACCCCAAAGTTAATGCAGATCCCTATTCCTTAACTTCAAATGAAAATATGTGGTCTACTCAGAACTCAGAATGCTTTCAGGTCTTTCTTAAAAGAAAGCATGAGAAATATTTTTAAATTATTTCAAATAGCCAAAAAGAAATATGTTTTTTGAAAAATTCTTGGAGATATTTTAAAAAATCAATGTAAAAACTAAAGATTGAAAACTACCTTGAACAAACATAATACTGGACTCCTAACTATTATAGTTATTGTCTAGTCATATAATTAAACTGAAACTACATCACACTAAATATGAGTATCAACAAAAGCAGAAAAAATATACACTTAATATGTTTTCTTTCTGTTTTCAGCTTCTAAGCTCCCTGCTGTGCTTAAGTCAAATACTGGGTGTAGGGTACATTAAGAATAACAGCAGGGTTTATTATCCCTGTTCAATATGGGCAAGATTTTTTCTTGCTTAATATTTTTTACAAACTGTAATTTCCATGAAGTTAAAGTATTTTACACTGTGACATTTAGCATCAAGTCACGGCCTTAGCAAATGAAAAATTATGCCATTGCGTAATGTCTAGAAATGAAACATGAACATATTAGTAATGAATCTTATTTCAAATCATTGAGTAATTGCTACAAATTTCCTTTACACAGTATCATCACCTAAAAGCACAGGAAAAATAAGACACCCAGAGACTCCATAGCCAAAGAGAAAACTATAAATTGGATTACATTTATGGTAGTTATCTATTTTTAATGCGAATGTTCAGCCTTTTTGTCTTACAAAGATCAATGGAAAAGAGGGCAGTATTTTTATTGGGCCATTAATTTTGAAATGAGAAATACTTCTGAGATGTACAGGTAGAGATTTTTCTGCAGGGTGGGCTGCTAATCCCACAGCCCATAAAATCTATGTCTCCTCAGAAACTGCAACTCCTCAAGGCAACAGGATATAAAGTAGGAGGATTCAAGTTGACACCAGAGAAAGGCAATTCCCACCATGCTGTTGGTTCAGAAAGAAACACCAAGTATAGTGTCAGTGTGTTTTATTTTTTCTAGTCTTTCATTTGCTCAGAGAATCAAGTTGACAGGAAATAGTGTCAGAGAGCAGCACCTCATCTGAGTATTGCAGAGTCGCCCTTGAGATTGATGAGCATGCCAAGGTTCTTTCATGGGGTCAGAAGGTGTGTACATCAACTTGGCCCCTAGCCATGGATCTTTCATTACAAGGATGAATTTTAAAACCTGTCTGAAGATTTTATCCTTAGGATCTAAAATAAGAATGAACTTTTAAACATATAATACATGAGCTAATCATTTTTAGAATTGTTTGATATCCTCAACAGATTGCAAATATGCACTGTCTGTGGAAGAAGAGCCAAAAGGCAGAGAAAACCACTGAGATTAAAAGAACATTAGAGCCAGGTGCGGAAGCACACGTACTTCAGCTCAGGGGGCTGAGACAGAAGGATCTCAAGTTCAAAGCCAGCCTCAGCAAAAGTGAGGTGCTAAGCAACTCAGTGAGACCCTGTCTCTAAATAAAATACAAAATAGGGCTGGGGATGTTGCTCAGTGGTCGAGTGCCTCTGAATTCAATCCCTGGTATCCCCCCCCCCAAAAAAAAATTAAAATTAGGTGACAAAAGATGGCTAGAGAAGAATTTTAAGGAAACAAGATTAAAATATAACCAAAACATACCTTTGTATCAGTAAAAAGCAGAACTTGCACAGGAAAATGTGAATCTGTGATCTGGAGAACAAACTTTAGATTTCCCAGAATGCATAGTAAGGGGAGAAAGAAATTTTTTAAAATTAGGGGATTACAGTTATTTGGAACACAGAAACAAGAAAATAACTATCACAAGCAACAAAAGTATAAAAAAATTGTTTGAAATATATAAAATACCTGAAAACGGAGATTGAAAATTTAGTCTACATCTAGACTAAATCAAATGAGAGTGCTAAATCCATAGTAAAAATTTTAATCACTGCCATCTAATTATCAAAATTGTTTATGATTCTCAACATTAACCACAGATGCTCAGCTGTTGCCTTGCTTGTAACATCCAAGTGTTCATCTTGGACAGGGATGGATTCTAAGCCAGATGTTTAATGCTCTTTGATTAGCTAGGATTTTACTGCAAAATGCTTTTCTCAATCTTGACATAATGTTCATCAATTACTAGGTGGAATATTGCAGTGTAAAGAAGCAATCAAAGTTATCATTGTCTTCTAGAAAAATGATTGAGCTTTAGTCTTACTATAGTTCAGAAAACCCACTTCGGCCAGATATCACTGGCATAAATAATGAACATCTTTGAACAATGTGTTGAACCTATTCAGCTAAGGGATAACAGGGATATTGCACCTGGTGGTAGCAGCACAGGTGCCTTCCATGCCATTAGGTAACATTCTTGTTGCATAGTCTTGTTGCATATAAATCATTAATAAGCACTTTGGGATGTAAAGGTAAGTTGTTACTTCAGTTTCAGTATCAGAATCCAAATGATAGTCATTGGACCGTTAGACTATGGACTGAAAAACAAAGGGGATTAAAAGTCTTGAGAAATTAAGCAGAAATTATCCATTATTTACAAATACAAAAACCAAAAAACCTGAATTAAGATGTTCCTTAGCACAAAGCCAGCCTCAGCAAAAGTGAGGTGCTAAGCAACTCAGTGGGTTCCTGTCTCTACATAAAATACAAAATTGGGTTGGGGATGTGGCTCAGTGGTCGAGTGCCTCTGAATTCAATCCCCAGTAACCCCCAGACCCCCAAAAAATGTTCCTTAGCAACATCAATTGGCAAGCCTTTGGAGTAATGTCTACAGAATTTCAATGAAAAGATTATAAAATAAGAATGTCCACAAAGACATTCTTTAATACAAAAATACCCACAAAGCCTATGTATGTAGAAAAATTCTTGAAAAAATTATTTAGAGGAGTACTTAGTCAAGATGAGTGAAAATTGTATTACTCAACTAATAGCCCAACTATATAAAAAGGCTCTTAAGGTTTATGTAAGTTTGAATTTCAAACTTAGACTACAACAAAAATTGATGTATGTGATGACAACAAATTAATAACCAATTACTATGTATATTGGCCATATGTTGATAAAATCTGAAAGTAGCTGTCCATTTGTATGATTGGACATTCCTTTCATCTATACCAACAATGAAAATAAAAACTAATTCACATTCCTAGAACTTAAAATTTAAGGCATTTCATGAAATAAATGAATATGTGATTCTCCAAAAAAGAAGGAAAAAGAAAAACAATTGGACAAGTATTTTCAGGAGTATTCAATAGATCAAGGACAAATTTTCATAGATTTAGACTTTCTCAAATGTTTCTCTTCTGCTTCAGGATTTTTACCCACAATTCCAGAGCTCTATCACATACCCCAGAGTTATCTCCCACTATTTCTGATGATGATGTAAAATACTACTTGCTGAAGTTGGATTCCAGCTCTTGTTAATAGCAGCTAAGTACAGTTATAACACTGGATAAGAAGAAATAACTAAACTAGAAATTTCTTCTCTCCAAACTCTGTCTCCCTTCCCCCTCAATATACATCTTCAGAGGTTCCAGAGAATAAGTGGAAACCATTCTCGTTGCCAAGTAACCTAGAAACATTTTCCATTTCTTTAAAATTCATCTTTAATGACCTGAATCATTGACTTTTTCTAACTCTGAAAGATAATTATATTATGGCATAAGCCCCTCTGCCAGGCATCCTTCATCAAAATTTTATAATACTCCCCCACTCGTTATGCCAAAAGAATCATTTCTTATTATGTGCTTCTAAATACATAAAAATATTCAAAAAAAAGCTTGTAATTAAAAATTATCAAAATACTAATGGTGGTTACCTCTGGATGAATTCTACATTATGTTAAATAACTTTCTAAATATTCAATAATACTATATTATTTTATAACAGAAAAAGATGTTTTAAGATCAAGTTATAAATTTTTTATGGTATAGAGGATAATAATTATTTTAGAATATGTAGCAAAATATCTAGACATCAGTAAACACACACCTGCAGAAATATTAATAGTAATGATCATGTGGTAATAAATTATGAATAGACTCTACCTCTTGTGTATTTTTTGAAATTTTATGTAATGATAAAAACTATTTAATAATAGAAAATACTACTCTTATAAAACTCAAGGGCACAGAATCACATTGAGAAACATATATTCATCCATACCATAAAATATTTATTGTGTTTTACTGCTATTTCACTTTGAGAATTTAATAGACTACAAGGCACACGAGATAAGCCACCTGGTACTCAATAGATACAATAAAACAAGCAGAAGCAGAGAGGTGACACATTAGGGCTGTTTTGCCATGCTGCACATGCCACAAGAGAGCACGGACTGCTTTAATTACTAGTCATTTGAATTTCTGATAGATATTATAGCAAAATTTAAATCTTGTTCATTTACTTTGGCAGCTTGACAAGGGGCTCATTTACAATCCTTTGAGGGAATTGCAAATTTCCCAGGCTTCAATTTGGGGTGAGATGGCATTATTCATAGAAGAGTATGTAATGGAATTCAGGGCTGGATATTAATTAGTCTGAAAATATTTTTAACCCATCAGAAGCCTGGGTTAAGATTTTTTTTATGTTTGGAAGAAATGATAGAAAGGAGAAAAATCAGTTATAAACTTTAAAAATTCAAATAGGGTACAATATCCACATTTACAACATTTTTAATCTAAAATTTTATCAATGGAAAACTGTTAATATAATTATAAGATAAATACTGATTTATACTGACCCCTTCCAAAAGTCTTCCAAAATTCTCTTGACTAATATTGTGAGCAGTGTAGTTTCTTTAAAAAACAAGTCTTTTCAGTTTTAGAATGTAAACTCGACAAAAACTAAAAATTTCCTTTTGTTTCCCCTCTATCCAGACTCCCAGTTCAGCACCATAAACATTTGAAATTCTGAATAAGCTCCACTTCTTAGGAGTGGGGCTGAGGCAAGGCCCAGGCCAAGTTAAAAAGCAACAACACAGTGTGAAGAAATTTGAAGGTGGATCTGTGGAGGCTTTGAGAACTAACAGTGAAGCCTTTTTCTTCATAGAAGAAAAAAAATTTTAATTTCCAGGTTGTGTTTTAGAATCTTCCCACAGGCAGCATGTAAAAGGCCTTGAGTGAATATTTATCAAGCATGAATATTCATCTCAAGGGCAAAAAGAATTCAAAGCAAAAGACATTTTAGTGTTTTTTTTTTCTTTTTCAAAATGCAAATTTATCTTTTTCATGACTGTTGTGTCCATGGGTGGCCCTTTGCATATCAATTTCAGATATTTTTCTTAAAAGCCAATAAAGCATAATTTCATGGGATGATAAAAGTAAGTAATAAAGGATGATGAGATTTACATTTCAAAGTTTTACAGTCCCAAACAAATCAACTAATTAAACCTAAGAATAGTGGATGAATAAGCTTCCTACCTTAATAGTGTTAGAACAAGGTCCTAACTAGCCCTCTTAATATGAATATTTCAACTTCATTCTCACCCTCTCTGGTCCCTAGGCACAGGGATCTAACTCTCTGAATATGCTCGACATCATTCAAAATTAACAACCAGAAAAGCTATCAACACACAGGAAAAAATGGACTGGTCCATTACATCTGTTCATTTCCTCTTCTGAGGGAATCTCTAATCTCAAGAGAACTTTCAGCTAACATAGACAAATCACAAGAAGACACTGACCTTTCTTCTTAGTAACTGAAAAGCAAACACAGATTCAAATAAATAATAACTTTTCATTGTATAGACATCAAGTTTTTAACCTGATTAACATGAACCATACCAACAAAATTAAGTTTTGAAATTTGCTGTAGGTTTAAGGGTGCCTTTTGATTTATTTCACTTTGGTGCTTGTGTTTCGTGATTTAACAGAACTGGTTATCCAATCACCAAATCACTTCTTTGATGAAGTAAATGCTCTGGCCTGCAGTAAAGGTTCAGCTCTCCTTTGTCTAACTCCAGAGACTTTCAATATCCTCACCATAAGGCATCTTTTCATCTTGAATTCACTAAACGTCAGTCTCAACTGGAGAGTGCAACACTGTGGATACAAAAGAGCCGATTACTTGATATTTGTATGGACACTTGATTCCTCAGCAACACTGGCTGGTGAAGTGATTCCCCATTTTCCCATGGCAGCTGTGCATCAAGGGATGCATGCAGCCTCTCTAATGAGGATAGCAACTGTATCTCCTCTCCATCACAGATCTGTGAAAACAAAAATTTTTAAACAAGGACTATGAGAAGATATTAAAAAGTCACAAATACAAAGAGAAGAAAAATCAAATTAAGAGTTCCTATATATTCAGGAGGTATCACTTTAAGCCCTTGAATGGATTGAAGTATTTAAGTCCACATAGCAAACCTCTTTTCCCCATTGTACCTCCCAAGATCCTGAAGAGTTAGGTGATCTGCTCGTGGTCACCGAGATTTAAAAAAGCAAGTCATTAGGAACATGGATTCAAACCTAGATGTGGCCCTAGAACCCATGCTCTGAATTTACTATGATATGCTATTTTCCCGTGACTGGCTTTATGTCAATCGTTTTTTGTTTTGTTTTGTTTTTTTAACAAAGGTCATAAATTGTCATTGTTATCCAACCCAAATCCCTGCTTAAGTGATTTTTTTTAACTTCTAGATTTGCTTAAATAAAAATAAGATTAATTATAGTTTTAAAAACCACAAAATTGGTGGGAATACTGTTTCTTTGAGAGTTATTAGAGGACCCCCAACAGCTGCTCCAATGCAAGAATCCTGGCAGCTGTGTCCACACAGATGCCCTGGCCTCAATATCAATGCAGGACTCCTGGCTGCTGGGCCACATAGGACCCCCAGCATCAGCACCAGTGCAGGACCCCTGGCCTCCGCTCCCGTGTGGACCTCCATCTACCAATGTGGGGCTCCACCCTTGCCTCCATCTTGGGACACTGCAACTGCTGCCATAGTCACCTGCACCTGGGGATACCGGACAGGGTCTGGAGACACCCCCCAGCCACAAAACTGCACTCCACCAAGCTACTTTTCTGAATGTGCCACCCAACACCACTGCCTGCCAGACACCCCATCTCTGAAAGCAGCCACCTCCATCTTGGAATACCTTTGTTGCCCTCTTTAGTTGGGGCAACTTCCAGCTTAGGACACCAGCTGGGAGCTAAAAACAATACCAAGGTACCTATAGTCCCCAACTCCCCCCTCTCCCCTGCAGCCACTAACTCAGCACAGTGCCTGAGGCTACATGGCTGGTCCTCAGCTCCCAAGGCCTAGTTCTGATCTGCCAGATACAAAACAGCTCTCCGCAGGTGCACAGCCCCAAGAACGCAGCCCACAAGACCTTGGGAGTGAGAGGTCCTAACTGGGAAGGAGAAAGGGAGGGGGTGAGTGAGATACAGTTTAGAGATGAAATTAGAGACCAGGAACTGTGAGGTCTACAGGTCATATAAGGAGATAAGACCAGGTATCCACATCACAAGAGCTGGCCCCAAAGGAGATCCTTGGGGTACAGTCTCCCATTGGGGACCAGCAAGTGCTACACACCACTTCCAGGAGTTCCACCCCCAAGACCAACCCTCCCACCCTAAAAACCTTTGCCATCCTGAGGGTGGAGATACCAGCAAACAATAGACAACCCCACGTATTGGATGAGAAGGGAAGCAGGAAATATAACTGAACTCCAACAGAAACAATCCTTGAATTTTCCTTCAAGGTTTTTTTTTTTTTTTCTTTTCTCTCTTCTCCCACCCTCACATGGACTGGGATGTCTGAATAGTATATTACAGTTGTATTGCATATTCTTTTATCTCCTATTTTTACATTTTGTTTTTCTTAATTTTTATGTTTATTTGTTGTATTCTCTCTATTGTCTTCCCACTTACTTGTCTCCCCCAAATCACTTTCTCTCTTCTACTGCTAGCCAACTTCTTTAGATTCCTCTTTCATGCTTCCTAATAACTCTATGTCCTCACCTCTTACCCCCTTAACATCTCATCCTATACAGCACCCCCAGTTCTCTCTTTGTCCACCACCAGAAACGGTAGACCCTTTTGTAAACCTACTGTTTATATTGTAGCTAAAACGTGAACTTACTATTTCTGTATATTGTGACAAAACCGTAAACATCTTAATAGGAGCTATTTGGTTTAAGGCTGTATATTGTTTGCATTGGGATCTGTTAATAGTGTTCTTCCCCCTTAAAGGCGAGGTATTGGAACCCCACAGGGACACTATAAGCTTATAAGGTAAAAACTGTAACACCTTGGATCTGCAGTGCTAGAAGGGAAGACACATGAACAACATGAAAAAAAAAAGAGAGAGAGAGAGAGAGAGAAGAAAGTGCCCCAAACAAACCAAGATACTACATTATTAGAATCCATGGCCAGCACAGCAAAAGAAATTACAGAGAAGGACTTCAGGATGTATATAATTAAAATGTTCTGTGAATTAAAGGATGATATAAGAGAGCAAACACAGGCAGCAAAGATTATTTCAATAAGGAGATATAGATTCTAAAACAAACCCAAAAATAGAAATCCTTGAAATGAAGGAAATAATAAACCAAATTTAAAACTTAATAAAAGGCACCACCAACAGATTAGATCACTTGGAAGACAGAATCTCAGACAATGAAGACAAAATATATAATCTTGAAAATAAAATTGACCATACAGTGAAGATGGTAAGAAACCATGAGCAGAATATTCAAGAATTATGGGATAACATAAAAAGACCAAATTTAAGAATTATTGGGATAGAGGAAGGCATAGAGTTACTAACTAAAGAAATGAACAATCTATTTGATGAAATATCAGAAAATTTGAATAAATAATTTTTTTAAAAAATCCACAAAATTAAGTTATTTAGTTGTATGATAAATTTTATCACCTTAACTTGAAAAGAATCAAGTCACATGAGAAACTAGAAAGTTTAATTACAGAGTCACAGGGAAGGCATACATTCTTAAATTAAAATTCATGTTAGCAACATAGCCTTAAAATTAGTTCATGGATGAGTTTGCCTCTATGATTTGTATCTAAAACGTCCCCAAAGCTCACATTTTGAATATTCAGAGGTGGGGCTTCTGAGAGATGACTGAGTCATGAGGGTTCTGACCTCATGAATTCATCCACTTATGAACTCATAGATTAATGGGGAATTAGGAGGTAGTAGAAACTCTAGGAGTTAGGGCCTAATTTGAGGAAGTAGGTCATTGGAGGTATGATCTTGAAAAATATTTTTTCCCCAGGCCCCTTCCTCTCTATCTTTTTTCTGCTTCCTGGACACCATGAGGTGGGCAGCTCCCTGTCATGATGTTGTTCTGAAGGTCTAAAAACAATGGAGCCAGGTGACTATGAACTGAAACTTCTGAAACCATGAATCAAAATAAAACCTTACTCCTTTAAGTTAATATTCTCAGGTATTTTGTCACAGCAATGAAAACTGACTGATGCATTCTCTTTTTAGAAAAAAAGAAGAAAAGGCAAGCATGCCATCAGCAGATACATTTAAATATGAAGTATTTTCTTTAGAATCTATTAAGAATTAACCTTTTCATTATCTGTCATTTGCTCTGTTCCTGTTTCAGTCACTTAATGTCTCAGATCCTTAGTACTCGTAGATTGTGGATAAGTGTTTTCATTCTTATTATTAATAATGCTTTTTCTCTAGAGTTTGCTGCCCAAACTGCCTCCCTCCTTACCTAAGGAACTGCACCTCCACTCCCTTTTTTTGAGGGACGCTTCTCACCTCCACAGGGTTTGGAAGGACTGTCAATTACAATGCCCAGCCATGCTGGATACAAGGGTGGACTTATGACTCAGTGACTTATCAGAAAGAGACTTATCTGGAATTCCCAGATTAGAAGTGATATAAAATCCTTCTTTTACTTTGAATTAAAAGTTCTAAGAAAATAACCCCAGAGCTGTCTACTATCATATCCATGTGGCATGGTTTTAAAGAAGCCAGAGAGAATTTGAAGCCAATTGATGGACAGTAAATATAAGAACAAATGGACCCACATCCAGTTTGACCCTTTGCCTTCCAGGTACAGCAACCAAAATTGCAACATTTTAGTTTAAGTTTTCAGAAACTTGCAAATGAAAAACTCCCAACCAACTATGTCATTCATTCATTCATTCATCTATTCATTCACTTATTCAATAGTTTATTAGATTATAATTATCAACAGTTTATTATTATGTGCTAGTTTTATTGGAAAATTATATATCATGTTCTTGATATTTATAAAAAAACTGAAAAGTTAGGTTTCTGGGGAAGTTAGAATTACAAGTCTATTTGAATTTTTTAAGGGTCTTAGATTTGGGGGACAATTTAAGGCTTTCTGGGACAAGGCTCTGAGCCTCAAGTTCCATATTTGAAGTAACACAGAGCCATGTCTACCATACAACTTAAAAGTTTAAGTCCAAAAGTAGTGTGCATTATTTTTTAGGATATGAAAAATATATTAAAAGCACAAACAATGTCTATAGACAAACCAACAAACATTGCTATATCTATTTCCAGTAAGACTTAATTTTGTGAGCAAATTCACATATCTGAAAGTTGAAATTATTTTGAACCATCAAGACATTCTCTACATTTCCCCCCTCTTCTGTCATAAATTAGACAGCTGATGAGGGTATAATAAAGATGCTTCCACTGATAATCAGAGCAGCATTTTGCTGTGCCTTCTCATTAGGGGCACAGGTTCTGCCTAACTGACAACCATCAGCCATTAATTAGTTATGTTCAGCAAAAGATAATTGGAAAAGCTGCCTCAGCTGCCACCAAAGCAGTAAAGCATGACACATGTGAGAAATTTTCTATCCTAGTAGCACCAAAGAGGGGGCTGCAGGAACCTGCAATATCTAAGTCAGAAGGCTTAACAAAAGCTCCAGTCCCTTCTCCCCACTTACAGAGAAAAGCAACTGATTTATTAGTTTGTTGGTGTATTAGTTCCACTAGAAACTAACCCACTAGATCCCTCTAGAATTTAAGGTCAACTAGTACTATTTAGATCTATCTAGAGTCACCAAGGGCAGCCATGACTAGCCCATTTTAGTACTGAGTTCATTAAGACAAGTAGACAATTTCTTATAGCATCCTTGGTCTCAAATTCTCACCCCAGTGAGGCATCCCTGATAGCAAATGATTGAACAGGCTTTTGATCACCAAGTTCAAATCCAAAAACTGCTACTCAATGAATAAACTCTGTTTTGTAAATACTAAAAGCATCAATAATACATTAAAACTTTTCTAACAGTACCTAGCACATAATAAGTATTTGATCAAAGTTAGCTATTCTCATAATTGTCTATGTATCCAGCAACTATAAGCAAGGCAGTTAAGTGCTGAGAGAATTAAATGTTTTCAAATGAAGAAAAATATAAAATGACCAGAAATATATAGAATATTCCCCACAGATAATTTAAGAATTGGTCTTATAATCTCATTGATATTTGCATCCATAAAGAAATTGTGGCTACATCTCTCTATAAATGAACACAAATTCCTAAATGGTGATATCCTAATTTCTGGCCCTGAATATGTTTCTTCATTCTTACTCTTCACACTGATGGAAGCACCTTGTCATGAAGTCTTTTGGCGCTGATGATGTTGTAGTGCCTTCTTTCAGACTAACCCTCCTACCCACCACATTATATATTCTAGATATTCTATATTCTGCTAAAGCCACTGGAAAGTGACCTAAAGGAGGCAGAATTAGGATAGCATTCAGCACTTAGAAGGAACCACCGCAGTACGTAAGACACACATTATTCAATTTTTCTTCTGGGGGCACATTCCCATCCAGAGCATGGACGGGGGGAAAAAATACCTTATCCTCAGACTGAGAATTCCCCTAGGAGTAAGGACAAAACTAAAGTAAACCTACACTCAAAAAGGCTAAAACCAAGATTCCCCAGGCTCAGTGTTTTCATTCAGTAACACAACTACCCATTAGAACAAAATTAAGCACTTTTCAGAGAAAGACATTGGATTTCAGATTTTCTATAATGTATTATTCACAAGATTAAGTATGCAATTACAAAAGCCCTACACAATGGAAAATTAGAAAAGTGTGATCAATAGTCAAGAGAAATATTAGTCAATAAAAACAGGGCAACAGCTGGCCCAGATGTTGGGATTAGCAGAAAGAAACTTGAAAATAACTATAATTATTAAATGAAGTGGCTATTTAAAGAATTTATAGAAAAATATTGGTAAGATATGGAGGAAAGTGGAAGAATTTTAGGAAATATATGTAATCTGTAGAAAGAAATCAAATGGAAATACTGTAACTGAAAAATAGAATATTTGAAACAAATTAATTGGCTGGCATTAAATGTAGATTGGCCATCACAGAAAAAAGATTTAGAGAATTTGAATACAAGAAAATAATAGTCATCCAAACAAAAGCACATAAACAAATTATTTTAAATAAACAGAACCTGACTTACCTGTGGAATAATATGAAGCATCAAACATACCTGTATTTGGAGTCCCAGAAGGAAATAAGAGAAAAGAATGAGGCATAAGAAGTATAACTGAAGAAATATAGGCCCACATTTTTCTATAGTCAAAAACAGGAACTCAAAAATCTAGGAAGCTTAATGAACTCCAAGCTAGCTGAAAAAATAAGTACAACTACATCTGATAACATCGTAAGTAAACTTTTTAAAAAAATTTAAAAAGCAGTGAGAGTTTTATAAAACTTATGACATAAAGGCATCTCATTAATAATGATGGTTTACTTCTCATCAGAAAGAGTACAATCTAGAAGATAATGTGGAAAGTAAAAAAAAAAATTGTCAATCAACCATTCTATCACTAATGAGAACATCTTCCAAAAATTTAGGTGAATAAACCTATTTTTTTTCAAATAAAAAGCTGATAGAATATACTGCAAGTTGGCTTCTGTTACAAGAAATGATAAAGGAAGTTTTCCAGGCTGAAGAGAAATGATGCTACATACAGATGAATCTTCAGTTAGGAAAGAAGAGCAGTAGCAATGTCAAATATCTGAATAGATGATTTTTTCCTTTATTGCATTCTTTAAATGTGAATTAAGTATAAAATATAAAAATGAAAATACCATATTGTGGGTTTATTATATGACTAGAGATTAAAAATATAAAAACAATACAAAATGTGGGAGAAGCTGTTTACAGAATTATAGTGTTATGAGATTCTGACATTAAGATGAAGAAGGATATAAAGTTAATTTAAGGTAGAATGTGATTGTCAATGATGCATATTATTATGCTCAGAAAAATTCTATATGGTAGATTAGCTGCTAATTCAATTTAATCATATTTCCATTAAAACTATTTAAGAAACCTACTTTAAAAGTAACACACCTCACTGGAAAGCACTATAAAGTTATAATAGGATATAAATATTTTCAATAGAAAAATAAGGTTTTCCTCTAAGTTATTCAAGAATGTTCCAAGTCATTCTCTCTCTTATAGATTCAGCGTGAATCAGAGAGTTGTATTTGACTAAAAAAAGGTAGGCAAAAATACCCCCCAAACTTTCAAATTTGATTATAAGTCTACCTCTCCCCATTTCTAGGTATAAAAGTCATATGTCATAAATGGATCTTCTTATAATACAAGATACATTTTAAAATATGAACATTTTAAGGTTTTTCAAAATGGCAGAATAGAGGAGTTCACATTCCTGGCTGCTTCATGGTGTGAAATCAAGAGAGCAGATAGGCAGCTTCTCTGCAAGATGTGTGAACAAAAAAAGTGGGGGCGGGGCCTTTATTGGAATTTAAAGCTGGACATCCAAAGCAGACCAGGAATGCAGAGGTTGGATATAATAAAATAAGGAAAAAGTCCTCAGCAACACAGCCCCTGCCACAGCCAGGCC